AAAATGATAGTAAATAAAAAACTAAAAAAAGACTAATATCTTCAAATCAAGTCTAAAAAATATTAACTATTACACATATAATGTATTTCTAGACTGGATTAAAAAAATGGGATACAAGAGAAAATAAACGGAACAAGGAAGGGAAGGGGAAAGAAAGAACCTTCACTACAAAGAATGAACAACCCTAGTGCAAAGAGAACGCAAAGGAGAGAACCTGAATGCACAACTTGGAGGAGAGAACCAGAACGCATAGCACGAAGTTGAAAATCAACATGCATGGCGTAGAGGAGTGAACCAAAACACACAATGATGCGGAGGAGAGAACCAGTACGTATGACACAAAGAGGGAGAACACACAACAGAGAGGGAGAATGAGAGTTGCACGACACTTAGAGTAGGAAAAATACTTTGTTTTGGGAAAATCCTAAGTGAAACGCGCACTTTGGAGGGTTTTGTGAGTGAAATTCATAATCTCACAATATCGAAGTAAACTCACAAGATTACTTGAGATTGCGCGAGATTGCTCGAGATTACCCGAGTTTACTCAAAAAACAAGATTACTAACGAGTTATACAGGTATGGCCGACCAATCTCATAATCTCGTATGAGTTTACGAGTTATCACTCGAGATCGATAACCATGGTAGGGTGGCTTTGATCATCCATGAAAATTGAAAGCTGAAATACATAGTGTTATTATACAAGGTTATGCTATCTTCATTGTTTTTCCATTTAAAAAGTTACTATATTAAGAATAGAATTGGGACTTCTGAAGGGTGCCCTATTATATAGTAAAGTATGGAATTGAAAATGGTAAATGAAGAAAATCAACTGGTTATATTTTCATAGAATACAAACTCCTGTATATATATAATAAGTAATCAGTGATATGATAGGAAAACTCCTTGCATTTTTGCATTAGCAGTATAAAGTACTGTATTGTGCCCAACAGTTGGAACATAATGCAGGAGTGTTTCTTGTTTCAGCTGGGTGGGATTTGGAACTACCATTTGTGGTGCAGGCCCTTTTTACCTATAGGCGTGATGATGTTCTATGGCTAACTTGATGATACTGGTTTTTTTAATTCCCCCACCCAGAATAATGTGTCTCACGTCTTCACTAATATGCAAGTTTCTTGCTTGTATTTCTAGGAGGAGTTTTCAAGTTAGAATTATTTTTGCCAGAAGAATATCCAATGGCTGCACCAAAGGTACATAATTAAATTGTTGATTATTTTTTATATGCATTGCCTTATTCTTTTGGTGTTAATTGTTGAAGTTTATGTTGAGTTCTTATCCACCTAAAAGAAATGATAATATAAATTTTATCTGGAAATTGTTTTGATACTGGTTTTTGCTTTTTGGTATGTAATGATTCGGATTGCCTGCCTGCTATTATAGTCATGACTCATGGGGTAGCATAAGTTAAGCCTTGTCCTTCAGCTTTCCAGTGTGATCTGAGATCAAATGTTAGCATTTCAGTAGCACACAGAACCGGGGTGCTAATTAGCATACTTTTGAAGTCATTATCAATTCTAGGGAAAGGTTTAGGGTTTGTGTGTACTTACAACTCTTACGTACATCTGATTGGGGTTTTATGTTGGCTTAGGGGGTCTAGTGGACTTCCTCCTCATCCTCTCAATTTTAAAGTATAATTTAATTGTATCTGTCGGTCTATCTATCTATCTCATATTTGTGTGATTGGGCAGTTTTCTCTTATTTTACTAGCTAATTTAGGCTTAATTTTAATGATGATAATACCTTAAGGTTAGGTTTCTCCAATTATTCCTAAGTTCACCATGCATTGCTTCTTTCAGGTTAGGTTTCTGACAAAAATATATCATCCAAACATTGACAAGGTGCAGTCCGCTTACCTTACATTTTCATTTCTTCTTCAGTAATAATTTATCTTACATGAAGTTTATTACAGCTTGGCAGGATATGTCTTGACATTCTGAAAGATAAGTGGAGTCCTGCCCTTCAGATTCGCACTGTACTTTTAAGGTATATTTATTTTTCATTTTTTATTTTTGTGGGTGCATATTGATTAGACCTATTTATATCCTGAAGAAATGTAGTAAATATCAATCAGCTTTACAGTCTCGACCCTTGTGTGGCTGTCTAAAAGATGTGATGATACACATTCAGAGAAATAGAGATATGCATGTATGCAGATTTTAGATTTTATTTCGAGAAAATAGGATGAGTTGACGGTGTTAAGTATTTTTAAACCGGCATCTAATTATATAGCATAATGTATGGTAAGTTTCTTGACTCTAAGAATAACTATATAAGTCATACTAAATATGATTTCTAATTGGTTGATCCTGTAAAAAAATTTATACGGACTAAGAATTGGTAAGTTTCTTGACTCTAACAATAACTACTTTAAGTATTTTTTTTCTTTTTTTCATTTTGATTGGTAAAACTTCACTGGGAAAAAGATGGTCTAAGTTACCAGTTGATAGGCTCATATTTTTTTAAACTATTAATATTCTGATTTATCATATACAAGAAAGGAGAAAAGGGGGGAGGGGGCTAGGGCAGAAGAAACATGAGAAATGTTTGTGTTAGTCTATCTGGATCTTAATTTTGATCACTAGCGTTACCTGCCCCCTGGCGTGGTCACAATTGTGTGATAAATCAGTGAAAAATATTAACCTGCTCCTTATTGCAAAGAGTTTTGTGTACTGATAATGTGAGTTTTGTGGGCCATTTTCTAGTATTCAAGCTCTTCTAAGTGCACCAAACCCAGACGATCCTCTTTCTGAGAACATTGCCAAGCATTGGAAAAGTAATGAGGCTGAGGCTGTTGAAACGGGTATGTCTTCTGCTCGTACTATTGCTTAAAATTTAGTTATTTGTTAATGATGACATAAAAAATGTCATGCTTATTCTCATGAAAATTGTTGGTAATTAAATGTGCAGCCAAGGAATGGACCCGGTTATATGCTAGTGACGCCTGATGCTTGGGTTGAAAGTTTGGCTTCAAATAACTATAGTGGAACTGTATGCTATATATAACTCAACTTGAAATAGAAATTTGGAGGAGTTGTCTGAACTATTTTGGAGTTAATATTCCTCATAGCTTCCGGTTACCTGTTAATTGCTTTCTTTCTCCTGGAAGCCTTGTCTTGGAACTTGTATTAAAATATGTGATCTTTTATGCCAGAAATTTAAACATGCTTCATCTCCCAACCCCCTAGTAATTTGGGATCCTCAAACTCCATAGTAAAAAGATTTTGAATAAGCTTATATTGGTTTGTCTCCTTTTCCATCAATCCATACGTGTTTGATACGTTTGGTTGTGTAATTAAGAACTTGAGGGATAGACACTTGTCTCCTGAGGATTGAGAAGATGAATAGTTGCAAGAAATTAGATAAAATTTTCAATCGATGATTTTAAATATAATCAGTTTTCTTTTTTTAGTAAATTAGTTAAAAGGGTTTTATTTAAGGAACGTAAGCTAGTGCGTTATTTAGTACTAGTATTACTGTCTCTACACAAAACATAAGATCGTTCATAGGATCAATTCCCATGTCGCTGCCACGTTAATCTACAAATTGATGTCCTCTAAACCCTGAATCGTTTGTGTAGTTACTTGTATTGATCGACTAGCAAACTATAGTTATTTATTTCAATGGCGTGCTTGACCAGCGATGTTTGGTACTAGTAGGGTGGTGTCACGACGCGCTAGCTGTATGCATCATTAATAACTAGAACCTTTTTACTTAGGAGCGTGAAATGGAATTCTGGGGCAAGGGTCTGCTTCAGTAATCGATTATTGTAGTTGGTTTTGGCCTTGAGCCAAAAAGGATTGAAACATTAAGTGCGTCTTTGATTTCACGTAAAACATAAAAAATTATGTTTAACGTGAAAGGTACAATGTGTAGCTTATGTGTAGCTTCACGTTAAACGTGATTTTTTACGTTTTAAACGTGAAACCAAACACATGCTAAAAGGTTTAAGCCAGGGTGAATTCAAAGGCATTATTTGGTGCGTTAAGTAAATTAGTAGAGGTAAGAAAAGGAGGTGATTGGAAGAGGGTATAGAGTTGATGTGTCTGTAACGAGGGTTTTGTCAGGATGGATGATGCAAGAGTCCAATCGGCTAGGACAAGGACAAAGTAACATCTATGCAATGCAATAATGCATTATGTATGCATGCCGTGCCATGATTAGGATAAAGAAAGAAGAAAACGACTCAAAACGAAACGACAGAGACAAGCCCCAACGCTCTTTTTTCTCTGCCGCATCCAAACGGCTGCGTTTCATAATGTTGTCGTACACCGTACGTTTGGTACAGTAGCTAGCCCTTTTCCCTTTTCTTTATTTTAAGACTTAACTGTTGCCTTTACAGCGCACGTGTGGCCCACGTGAATGCACCGACACAACATTCCAACTCTTCCCTTCTCTCAAGTCTCAACCACAATCACCACTTCCCCAATCCAGGTTCCCTCTTCTCTCTCACTCAAGTTTTTCATATTATTTTATCCCACCCTTTCTCCTAAACTTTACTATTTTGCAGCATTGGAATTGGAGGCCAGGTAGGTGAAAAGCATGTACAGTAATTCAGATCATTGGTCACAACTCACAACAAGATCTAGAACTTGGCCCCACAGAGAGAATGGCTGGCAAACACCGACCTTTTGGACTCTCTTTTTAGGGTAGGTAAGTAAGAGACCAACTTCTTAAATGTCCACATGTGTGCCCTTAATCGCACTCTCATACATTACTTCTTATTATCTTAGGCTAAGCAACATTTCATTGGCATTTTAAGTGGTCCACCGCCCAATCCAATTTCAAACATGGATGGAGTTATGAATCCTATCAACCACACCCCTCTCCCTCTATAACATAACCAACCTTCATTTAAAACACTTGCCTTTACATATCAAACACCAACTTAAATGCCATTTCCAATCCCAAGGACCCACTCTCCAGTTATACTATTCTTTAATTCGAGTCTTAAAACACAACATACAAAGCAAACACAAAACTCTAGAAAAAATGCCAACTTTTATTGATTGAATGGCTAAGATAGGATAACAAAAAAAAAAAAAAAAGAACAATAATAACAGTTTCATCCTCCTTTTGCCAACTCAGCAGGTACCCACCACTCATCCTATCTCCCCTCAAAGGCTTCCAGTGTCTTGTTGTATATATCATCACATATATACATGTACAGATCTCTCCTTCTAACTAGCACAACCCCCTCCCCTCCCCTCCCTTCATTCTATATCTGTCTATATTTCTCTATCTTAAAAAGTAATTTAAACTCATAATTAAATCAATTGTACAGACATAAAGAACATTTTTTTTGTTTTCTTTTATCCTTAAAGAAACTGGGGGTACAAGAACAGCTGACCTAGTGAACTGAAAAGGAGTCGAGAACAAAAAGAAAATCGACAACGGGAGTTGGGAGGAACATGGAACCAAAGAGCAATGAGCAATGAGGAATGAATGAAAAAATAAAAACTTCAAAAGGAACTAGACTATCTCTAGGTTCCAATGGCATTGGCTGCTAAAGAGATTATTATCTGGTTTTGACTATGTCACAGGTATGAGGTGATCACTTTATGGTGGGATCAAAAGACTGCAAGAGCTGTAGAGACTAGAGAGTTTAACTGGAGGTTTAGGGAAACAACAACAAGGAAGTGCTGAAGACAGCAGAGAAGCATTACATGTCATGAGCTCTAAAAGCTGTAATGCCGCACGGAGTGTTCCAACATGTCGCGACTAGGACATACAATTTCCTTCACTCGGCTGCCACTTTTGTATATCTTGAAGGTTGGTACAATCCTAACGTTCTCTGCAGTTGCAACTGTTGGGCTTTCTTGAATGTCCACCTTTGATCAAAGACAAAAAAACATATTGTATGCATTAGGAAACTCCCATGTTGCTCTCTTTTAAATCCAAGTTAAATAAAATAACAGGAAGTGTAAAGTCAAAAAACTTCATTTAATATGTGAAGTGAGCTACCTTGAGGAAGTTAATAGATGGATATCGACCACATAGTGTATTGACAAATGGTGATATTTGCTTGCATTGAGAGTTAGATGCAACTTCAAAATGGACAACAGATACACCTGCCAAATTAATAGATATTATCAGGAGATTTGAAAAACGACTAAAATGAGTTGCAGAAGACTACACTTAACCATTTCAATTACCTGGTAAAGATATTGCAGCTCTAAACTGCTCAAGACCTGATACTTCTTCTACTTCGCCACCAAATTTTAAATTATATACTTCTTCCCCGCGTGATTTCTTAAGGGCAACTTGTGCGTGGAAAAGAGATTCAGCAACTTCATTGTCATTTGGAAGTTCTCTCCGTAAGACCTCATAATCTATGACCGCTTCTTCCCACCTTTCTAGCTGCATTTGACAACAAAGAACGATGACATCACAAATCTTCATGACAAGAAACACAGAATCATAAAGAATGAGAAATCAATTCACCTTGCTGTTTGATGCAGCCCTTCGAAGAAGGGCCTTGGTGTAATTTGGTTGGATATGTAAAGCTTGGTTGGAATCTTCGATTGATCTTTCCCATTGCCCAAGCTTAAACCAACAAGCTGCTCTATTGCAATAAAGAACAGAATTCGAAGGGTCCAGTCTCAAACCTTCCCCGTATGCCGAGCAAGCTTCGGTGTACCTCTCAGATTTAAAAAGATCATTGCCACGCACTCGGGCCCTTGCCACCATCCTCACATTGTTGAGCAAAACAGCAACTTCAACATTCCGGGGATCAATCTGACTGGCTTTCTCAGCAGCTGTAACTGCATTCTCGAACCTGCAATACACCCATCACCTATTTTCACTCTCCAACATAAAAGAAAAACCGTTGCCAACAGAGGATTTCCGATGAAAGTTAATAGTGTCTGAACTCACCTTCCCAATGCCATCTCAATTTGAGCTCTGACAAAATAGCAATAAGCCTCAGAAAGCATCCCAAAAAACCTTGCCTGAGAAGAGGAACTAGTGTGCGGCTCGGATTTGGCAATTTGCAAAAAAACCGATTCTGCATCATCAATCTGGTGGAGCTTCAAAAAGGCTTCTGCTCTACACATAAAGAGCTGTAAATTCAATTTCCAACCAGTTCAGCCATTTCATCCACACCTCCACAAAACATATCCAGCTCAGATATGACAAAAACAACAATAACAACCAACGTTTAAACAACGGTATCAGCCACATTGTCATCACTGAAATTGCGGCTGCATTGGCCACATTTGTCAGCGAGAATGGCGACAACACCGCCGCCACGACTTGCTATACAAAAACCTTGAAATAGATAACAACACTAACATAAAAATACCTGAGGAGAAGAATCCGCTCCAGCAGCAACAGCAGCATCAACCTCCCTCAAAACACTCTTCCAATCCCCTACCCTCCGTACATCCCCACATTTGCTGATGTGCTTTTCCACCACTTGCAACCTCTGCATCTCACACGGATCTGCCTGCATTCCAGGATAACAAAGGTTCTTCCTAGCATTCTCAACTTGTCCCAACCTGCGTCACATTACCACTTCCCATTCTCATCAACACAATTCCATAATATAACCTATGCCAACCAAAATCCTGTTTGCATAAACTTCCCCATAAAAAGGTGAAAAAATTAAAAATCAACCAATGCACTTAACTTTCATTCCAAAAAAAGCCAACGTGCATAAGTTGTCAGAAAGGGTTTATCCAAACAAGACCAATCAACAAATGCAATCAACAAGCAACACCTTCAACAAAAATCAAATCAAAACAAAACAAAAATCAAATCAAGAAAAGAACATGATCAATGATCTCCACCTGAGGAAAAGAGAAGCCAAACGCTGATGAGCCCTCCCATAATTAGGATCCAATCTAACAGCCTCCTCACATTCCCTCACAGCCTCCCCCAACCGCCCCAACCCGGTCAGCGCCGCCGCGCGGTTGCTACGGTAGGCAGCGCTCGCCGGCGACAAAGCAATGGCGCGATCATAGAGACTCAACGCATCAGAAAAATGCCTCTTTTTGTAACACTCATTCCCCAATCTCTTCAACTCCTCCGGATCCACACCCTGCACGTGCACCCCTCTCTTCGCCGTCTCATTTCCGCGAGAACTCACCGGCTCCGCCTTCCCGGCGGCGGCTCCGCCGCCCCGCATTATGCTGCCGTGGCCGTAGTTCCCCATGCCGGAGCCCAACACGTCGCTTCTGCCACTCCGATTCGGCGCCATCTTAAGGATCTTGCCGGAGGGGCAGATGTTCCCGGTGGGGAGAACGTTCATCGGCGGCGAAGTCACCGTCTGGCCGGAGTAAATCAACGGCGCCGGCGCGGATCCGGAGTCGGATCTCGCGTGACCCGGCTTGGGGCTGTTCTCGCTGGAACCAGAAAGTTCACCGGAGTTGTTATTGTTGCTGTTAGTGTTACTGTTGTCGGGCTTTCGCGGAACCGGCCCGGGCCCGGTTCGGCCGGAGAAGGATCCGGAAGAGCTGGAGCTGGTACTCGCGGCGGGGGCCCGCGTCCGCAATGGCGAGACTGGCGAGCCCAGATCGAGCTCTCGGAAGTCGGGCTTGTTGGTGTTGTCACATTTTAGGGTTTCGCGGAAGCGATCGGCGAAGGCGTCGATGGCCACCACGTCGGAAACGGGCTTCCCCGAGGAATGCGACATTTTGGAGCAAAAGGGTCGCTTCAAAATTCGAGCTTGGGCAAAACCCTTAAGCCTGAAGCCTGAAGCTTGAAGCTTGAAGCTTCTCCTCTCTCTCTCTCTGTGTTAGCAATGGGAATTGGGAAGCTCTGAAGATGAAGACATGAAGAGAGAGAGAGAGAGAGAGAGAGAAGAGGGGAAAGAAAGAAAGGGATGGGGATCTCGTGAATTTAAAAGGAGCAAGCAAAGAATGAATGTGAGTGAGTGAGCGAGTGTGAGTGTAGTTGTTGGTGTTGGTGTTGTTGGTGGTGGAATTCTAGAGAGAGAGAAAAAAAATAAAGCTCTTTTTTTTTTCTTTTTTCGTGAGAGTGGAAATGTTAGTGTTGCTTTGAGAGAAAGAGAGAGAGGAAGAAGGAAGAAGAAAGATGGAGAAGAAAAAGAGTGAGGTTTTATTTTGTTTTCCTCCTCCTTCAGCTGCTGCTTCACGAGACTGGTTTTGGTTTGGTTATGGTTTTACTTGTTTCTATTTTTTAAGATAATTATATTATATTATTATTGATTGTGTAAATTAATTTTGAAATAATGAGCTGTATTTTTGTACCTCTATAATGTTGTTGTTGTTGAGATAAAAATAAAAATGTGAGCCACTCTCTTATGGAAGGAGTGAGAAACACTCTCTCAAGAGTCAAGAGTCAAGTCTCATCCTTGAGGCCAAAGCCAAGTTTGAATTGCCAGTTGTCCTCCTCCTTCTTAATTACTCTACCAAAGTAGATAAGTTCCCCCTACTCTCTCTTTTTTAGGGATAATAAATAAATTGCCAAATTGGCACAATGAATTTCTCTAGTCTTTACTACTGCCCCCCACAATGAAAACTCATTAATGCCATTTCACCTTCATTAAACTCCCCCAACTCTTCAAATTCATAATCAACATTCACTGCTTCTAATTCCTCCCAAACCCACAAAGTTACTTGCTTCAAGTTTCACCACAAGGTGTCAAAAAATGGGTGGAGTGTTGGACCAATTAATAAGGTTGTGGCAATGGCATTTGATTGCCAGCAGAGTCCAGAATGAGAAGTGTACTCTTATTCATCCATCCCCAAACAAACAAGTCCTACACCACGTGGCAAACAGGAAGTGGCTGTGGGCCCCACACCAGCATCAAAATCAACCCTAGCATTAGAAGCCAGCCAAGAACAACAAACTCCACCCTCCAAATTCCTTGTTTCTTCTTTTTCATTCACCCTCCAAAATTACATCACCGTCATCGCACATTCAACCTAGAATATTCTCTTCTATTTTTTTTTTTATAATATTTTTTCTAATTAATATTTTTTCATATACACTGTACTTTACGAGACAAAATTATTTACTCATCACATCATGCTATATTATATGCGTATGTTGATTCACTCACATCTTACTTGAGAATTGAGAGCACCACGAGCAGGGACCACTCTCTACAACAAGTGGAGCCCACCTACACTTGCAGTACTCTAACTTAATAATATATAAAAAAAAATACAATAAAAGCTATTTTGTTTTTTTGTCATTCTACTTTATAACTCTACATTAAATATTTCTAGTCTCAACTTTGTTGTATTCATCTTAAATTCTTGAATTCTCCGTATCTTTTCACTTTCTTACCAAATAAGAAGCAACTAACTCTTTAAGTTAAGTTAGAGATTTTATTGTAGACTCCTTATGGTATAACCACCATACTCTTAAATTTTGATAATGTTGAAAATATAATGTTACACTGTGTAAATAAAAATCAAAGTTTTGAAAGCATAATTATCGATAATAGAAGTAATTAGTCATGTGTAGGAAAAAAAATATGTTAGTTAATTAGTCCACTCAAGAGATCCAAAAGTCACATTTGAACAAATTATCAATGGGAATTGATTACCACCGTAGCTAAAAAGTTTTAATATATGTCTAGTTGTTTGCTTAACTAATTGTTTATATCCATTAATTTCATTATCACTATTGATGAAAAATATTATTTTATGTTTTTCATATAAATATTTGTTACTTATTATTTAATTCATCTTTTTCTCTATGCAACTCTAATACATGAAAAATTTATTGTTGGACGTTGAAAATTCATTGGAAGAGGAGATGTGTTTATCCTCTAGTTAAGGTAAATAATTTCATCAATTTTATTGTTATTCAATCCATGGATGTTAGACTTCATGTTATAGATAATCGTCAACATTATCATCATATGGTAGATCAAATATATACTTGACATCTTTTTCAGTGTTGGTTAGAGAATTTTCCTCCTCCGTAATAAGCTTTTTTTCCCTCTTCTTTGTCCTTAATCCTAACTTTTATACCGAAGACAATGCAATGTTTCAAATTTGGAGTTGTTAGAATCATGCATATGTGTACTATTATTGTATTGCATTCCAAAAATTTAATATTTTTGTTATGTTTGAATTTACCCTTATTTGTACATGTTGTGTCTTATTCTCATATTTTACATTTGAAAAACCTCAATTATTTTGTGTGATCGATATTATACATCTTTGATTTCATCAACTAGGACACCCATTTTATTAAAATCTTGTAACATAATATGCATAAAATATGATGTTTAGTAGGTGTAGATATACAAGCTAACTTTATCTGTTTAAAATAAAAAATATAAAGCTTGCATTTTTATATATTAAATAAGTTTAATTTGCGAAATAAATAATTTTTTCTCATGTTTACCTCACAAAATCTGCTGACTCAATAATAACATTGATTAAAAAAAATTTTGAAAAAAAAAAACATAAATCTATCCGTTTTTCCGATTCCTTTCCTCTTTTTTTTTTTTTTTTTTTTTTTTTTTTTTTTTTTTAAGTTAAGAACTGAACCCAACAAGTGAAACTCATCAATTTTAACACTTTCTTAATTAGTTATACAACTATACTATTATGCTTAATGTTGGTAGTGTTAAGTTATTAGAGTGGTCTACTTGCAAATTGCAAATACTAGTTTTGGCATTACCCAACAAGCGATAATATAACTACAACCAAAAAGGTAGAAATCAAATATAATCATATTTATTTAAACTTTCGTCTAATTTATAAGAACAATGTAAACAAATTCCACGGTTCATAACTAATGGAAGTTGACTTAGCTTGTAAGATTTAATTGTGGCATACAAAAAGTCTTCGATTGAATTTTACAAATTTTCATCGGGAGCCATTAATTATGCTGCATCGTGCTTTAATTATGGAACAACCTCTTCACCTTTTTCCCCTCTACAAGTATTATATATATATATATATATATATATATATATATATGTGTATAGAATACTTTTATACTAATAGTATAACTTATGCATCTCTAATTCTCCTCTATATGAGAAGAACAAATGAGTAGTTCAAGTGATTACTACGTGCTTCCACACTAGGTGCTCCACTTCAATTATTTTCTACCAAAAATGGTTGAAATTTCAACTTCCTTTACTTAGTTTAGATATATGATGCTATTTTCGAAAGAAAAAAAATGTACAGTTTCCTTTTATGATATTGCTCTAATTTATGTTCCTCTAATCTTATTGTACAGCTCTAATTAAATGAGAGTATTTATCGGAAATGTCCTCTACCAAGGACCAAAGAAGAATTAAAAGGTGCAAATTAAGAAAAGAACCAATATCTTTCCTAAGCAATTCACAACAAAATGGTATATCTCATTCTAGGGAAAGTTCAATGTACTAGACACTAAGAAAGCATCTACTTGGGGCATTGTATCATATTATATAATTATAATGAAATCATAATCTCTTGCTTTTACACAAAATAAATAACTATTATCTTTTCTTGGTTCGTTAAACAAAGCTAGAGTGCAAGGCATCTTATTCCTTTATGGCATTACTTCAATTATTATGTTAGTTATATCAAAGAGTTTAGCCTAAGATAAGGGCTTAGTTTGGTTTCTTACAAATATAATTTATAGTAGACACAAGGGTACCGATTAAGAAACTACCACTATTGGGTTGACTAAGGTAGTTTTGGTGGTATTCTAGGTGGGTGGGGTCAAAATTGTGTATATGCATTAGGGTTGATTAATTGATTGACACAAATTATGACAATTGGCACCACTATAAGAATTGGGCAACTTTATTGTATTAACTATTAAAGCTTACACGAGTTTGTTAATATAGCACTAATGTATGCCATAAAATCTACAAATCCTTAGATTGCTTGCCAAATGGTTCCTTCTTTCCAACCACCCCTCCTCCAAATTACAAGGGGCTCCCTTTGATTGGTGCTATTCTAATGTTTGTTTCACTCTTACTATGGCAGATGGGTTAGGTTTGGTAGGAGACTTTAACAATTACTTCTTTTTTCTTCTTTTTTTTCAAATCATGTTGTTGTTATACAAGTATCTATATATTTTATCTTATCCAAAATTGTGACCGACCAATTTTAATAGAGTTTCTTATTTTAATCATGATTTTTTCATCTACAAAACTCAAAACTAAAATTTTACGTGAGAAGATTGATTCTTATTTGGACCACTCAATTGTTGGTGATTTTGATAAATACTATGTGTGAAAAAGAAACAAAACAGTTATGGTTCTCGTTCTTAGGAGAATGGTAGATCTCTCTGTAACAACTTGCTTTTATTATGGTTATGGAGATTAATATAAAAGTGATATATTCATCACCTGAAAGGTGGAAGAGAACAATGAAAGGCATATTCTATTATGCAAAATGATAATACGATATGAATTTATTGAAGTCGCGAATTCTGGTGAAAATAATGGCTATGGTTCAATAGTCATCATCATTTTTATTTTACTTTTTATTGACTGAAGAAGAGTCAAAGTCTTGCATGAATCTTGTGAACCTGTTTGCCTTTCAGATGCGAATAAAAATTATAGGTTAAAATCCTGATTTAGTCCCTTATAATATTTATTTGTTTTAATTTAGTCTCATTTTAATTATTGTAATATTGTATTTTTGTTCAAATTATTTAGATAGAGTTAACTGTTGACCACGTGGATGCCACGTGGATGTACACGTGGATGCTACGTCGATGCATACATGGATGCCAATTTTTTTTAATGTATCTGGAGCCAGAACGGCCCATTCTAGTTGCACATTTGGTGTATTAATTTTACACTTGGAACGGGTCGTTCCGAATGCAAAATTAACACATCAAGAGTGTAATCAGAACGGGCCGTTCTAGTTTCAGAACGGGCCGTTCTGGTTTCAGAACGGGGCGTTATGGTTCTAAAATGCCAAAGATGATTATAGTCAGTGACAGATCTGGAAATTTTAGATCGTGTGGGCAATACTTATTTATATATTTGTAATATTAAAAATTTTACATATAATTTTTAAAAGTATAATATATATTATAGTTATTTTTTTACAAGTTTTTATATCTATAATATTACGATTAAGGATGAAAATAAACTATGTCAGATTATGTTATATTATAATTTAACAAAATTAAACCTAATTTTTATTAAAAATACCTGTTATTAATATGATATATTT